AAGAAGAGGATATATTCCTGGTCTCATCTTCTTTTTTGCTAATAGAACTATAGTGTGAATTTGGTTTAAGTTAAAATTAGGGTTAGGTAGGCACTGGTAATTATCAGGTTTAGGGTTATTGTCTGAGTTAGTTTAAGATTTGGAAATGAGTGAAATTCACTACATGTAGCTAATTGGGAATGTGTGTGTATGTGTGCGCCGGGGGTGTAATTGGGCATGCTTTAAGTAGATATGTAAACATAACACACGTTGCAGTTTAGACACACGTTACCAATTCCTCACCCTTAGAAGAAACCTCTACGTTGAAAGAGGAAAGCAGATACGCATGGACAGCCACAGCCTCCCTGACTGATCATTTTTCTTGTATCTTCCATTACCAAGAGGTTTTGAATTATTTCCTTGTAGGAAAAAAACATCCTTCTGCTTTGATTCCAGCAAAACATAACATCATTTGGGGAGAAATACTCATCCGACCAGCAATGAATACACAGACCCAGCCGTCGCCACCAGGCTGGTTCGTCTGGACAGGTTGCTCAATGATACATGAAATTAAAGATTTAAACAGAACAACAGTGAAGTAGGAAAGACCTCACAGCTCATTCCTGCTGTAGATTTTTAATATGGCTAGACCCAAAGCCACTTCTTTTATATTAATATATCTGAATTAAAAAAGCTAAGATCAACATTGGATTCTTGTTGAAAATTTCAGCTGTTTTTCATCATTGGATATTTTTATGTGGGGAAAACACACATACCTTTACACACTTACACACACGTACATACACACAGCAGACCTGACTGGTATAACCTTGAAACAAGAGCTGTTTCCGATGGATATAGAAAGTATGCAAGGTTGTGAAATGGGACAACAGATCTGAACAGGAGGTAAGAAAAGAGGCAACTAAGGTTTAAAAAAATTCTAAAACATTAATTGTTCAGTTTTCATTATGTTTTCTCACTATAATAACAGTATATGAGCTCTAAGAATTATTAAGCTATTTTGTGTAGATATTATAATTTTGTTCAAAACACCTGTTTTCGTCTTTAAAAGATTAAAGGCTCCAATATAATTTGTTTGGAGAGATATCAGTTTAAGCCTTTAATGTCTTTGATTAGAACTGCACCTCAATCAAATATAATTAAGATGTTTATTGCATGGTTTTGTGTTAGCAATTTTAATTAACAAGTCCTTTAGTTCTTGTTACGAGTGAGTCTTATTAAAGATAATTAAACTGGAAGTCAAGCATCTAATGAATGCAGAATCAACACAAAGGAAGACTCGCATTGAATTTGTTGTATTTAATCTTAGAGCAAATGAAACGGAGAGAAAAAATAGCTCCCACATTCTAATATAATTCAGACTGGGGATGAGTTGGTATGAGATTCACATAGTTAATCCTAAGTTAAAATACAATGGCTTGAAAATATAGAAAAAATGACTACACAGTCTCAATGAAAATATTTTGAACACTTAAATCAAATCAGGTAAGATAATAAAATATGTAAAACAAAAGAGGGGATTTCATTTGCCAAGAAGGATAAGACAAAAGTAGCATTCAAATACAATATGAACATTAGTGTTCAGTGAAGCATGAACTAAAGCTGCAGAAAAAATTCAGATTTAGCAGCAGAATGAATAAGTGAATGAGTTTGGGGCCCTGCTAATACTGATATCAGGGGTAGCAATGCTACTTTTAGGCACTTAGTTAAAGAGAGTAATAGTTTATGGTAAGCAATGTACACGACAGTCGCCTTTATTCATTTTTTACATATTTTTTACAATCAATATCTGTAGACAAGGGCTGTAAAGATACATCTATTGATTTGAGGAAATTGATTCCTAAAATTAATTGAGACAAACAATTTGCCCGGAGACTTTGTTAAATAATACATGCACTCTGTTCTGGTCAGGTGAATACTTCTTATGATAGCAATGGATGCCAAATATGGTTATCGGCAAAAGAGGGAAAGAGCAACCAAGCTAAATAGGGATAATATAAGGTGTAGATTAACTTGAAGCTTTTGTAAAAAAGAAAACTTAACAGTGAGCTGGTATCAACTCAGGCCTGGATGCAGCATCTTAGCTCTCAGCACTGCTCAGTGCGCTGTTGCCAACTCTTTCGTTATTGGCTGTCTTAAGTCACTGGATGTAGTCATTGCCTAATTTACATATTTGGTAATGCTTTGATTCAGCTGTAGGAGAGTGAATATCAACATTGGCATGACAGAGAATGACTAAAAGCCCTTTATATGTTTTCAATGATATTATACCTGAAGTACATGTACATAAATCAATCTTATAGTTATGTTATCGAATTTAACTTACAGTATAGGCAGTAAGCAGAGACGCACACACAGTGGATGAGACTGTGTATGAATTAAATGCAGGGAAATATCTATTTATGAAATAGTTTCAACTTAAAAAACATTACATTAAATATTGTACTTAAATACTGCTTTTACCACAGTTTTACTACAGAGCGTTGTAAAGTCATTGCATTGCATTAATATTAAGTCAGCCAAAAAGGGCCAAGCTTACAATATATTAATATGGATTTTTTTTTGGGTGCAGATTCATCCTTATTATTCTTATTAGAAAAAGGAACTGAATAACAATATTTTTTTGTATGTGTAGCTATGCATAAAATAACCTAAGGTGATTGACTTGATACAATTAATGACTTAATTACTAAAATAATTGTTAGTTACATCCCCATTGTACACTATAATTTACAAACAAAACACAGTTGACAGTTTTACTGACTGACTTTAATAAATAACATTGTGATTAAAATATCCTGTGTTGTAGATATCAGGTTTACCTGTGTAATATTAAAATAAAAGAAAAATAATAGTGTCAGTCAGTTTTTAGCAGTAATTGTAAAATAATTAATGCAGCTTTAAAGCAACAATAATGGCTCGATGCAGGTTGATTAATTAATTTCAATGTGTTGCTGTTATTTCATGCTAAGGGATTTACTTGTATCTGGTTGGCAGTGGAAATAAAAGAGAAACACAGTAGTGTTTTCTTATTACCCCCACCCTCTGGACCGTAGGGGCAGTGAAGCTTTTCTCAGGCTGAATGTGTGGGGAAATGGGGAAAGCACACTGACAAACCACCTGGGTAAAACAAATCCCGGGGCTATTAAACCCTTGCGCATTCAATGGAAAAGGGGTTATGCACAAAAATCTCAGAGTCCTTTCTCTTTAACACCAGGCTTCCTTCTAAGCTCAACAGATCATGTATCGCAGTCTGCTTGCCTGTTTAAAAGCATTTGTACCCTCAGGTCAGCTGTAGCCATTCCTGCTGTATCAACATACTAGGCTGACATCAACACACAGGAAGCTGGGGACATGTTTTCAAATCTGTGCATTTATTTGTACAACCTGCAGACAAGTGAATAACTTCACATTTGCATCACAACAATATAGGTCTGAAAGATGCACTTCATCGACAAAGTGGCCCTTTGCCTTTCTTCACTCAATTAACCCCATGGTCCTCATTTGCATTTCACAAGAAGGTTGTCACTCTGTGGGAGAGTTATCTACTTTTTAGAGGCAGAGAAAGATGAGAGGGGTGAACAGTCTATTTTTCTCTAGTCAAAAAGATAACACCACTCATCTGCCTTATCACTTACTGATGCTCATGCATGTGGGTGATTGTGCTTGTGAATATGCAACACGTCCTCATGACCATACGCACTGTGCAAGTGAAGTGGAATTTTGATACTGTGTGCCTACTGGGTACATGTAAATGCTAGATGCAGGTCCTGTCCATGCATCATGTCAAACCTCTTACATGCCTTGAGATGCTTCTTGCCTTCATGAGTGCTCTGACCTCCTGGCCCTACATCTGAATGCCCACTCAGGGGGTAGTTCCATTTTGGCCTTTCATCTTCTAATTTTCCATTAGCCAGTTTTTAACCCAAGCTTTATCCACTGACCTTCCATTAGACAAATTTGCATTTCATCACACTCAAAACCTGCATTAATGGCACAAAACACAGTGGTAGAGTAACAAGAAAAGACTGCAAAGAGGGATAAAAAAAAAAGGTAGATAAGAGAAGGAGAGGGAAATTGAAGGAAACACTGCTGGATAGCAATAAAATTTGCTCTTTTCCTAACTGTAATTTGTGAATGTGCATGAATATATGTGTGAGTGTGTATTTGAGCACTCCGGCAGAGTGCTTTAAACTGACATCTATTTAAATGACAAATGTTTTGAATAGGCTTTTAAATCTGTGCCTACAATGCTGACATGCACTACTGGTTCTGAAGTGGCTAAAAAAGGACAGGTACTTAAATGTGAGAGGTGAAAATCTCAGAAACTGCAAACTCAAATCTGTTCACAAATGGTTAATGACTGGAATTTTACAGATAAAATGCTTCTACACACACAAACACATTTTTTATTTTATTTTGTTTTTATTTCTTATTTTTATTTAGTTTTTCATTGTGAGCAATACATATACACTTGCACATTAATCCTTATTTATATTGTATACTGTATATACCTGGATATACTGTATATATATATACA